GGAGATTCTATCATGGGAGACTGGAACAAGGAAAGCTTAAACTGTTTAGGGGTTTGGTTCAGTTTTGTTGTGGTTTGGGGTTTTTTTTGGAATATCCAAGCAAAGCAAAATAAAGGAGATCAAACTGAATTAAGACTAGCAGCTTGTGTTGATAGTGCCATATAAAGTAAATTTCAAATATAATTTTTCTCAATATGTGTGTGAGAAACATGAAGAATTACAATATTAAGGCTCAATAGGAATATAAACATGCTAAGACATGAGCAGGCAAATGGAGCACATAACCTACTTTGACTATTTCCTGAAGACACCATGCATTATGAGATTTATTATGGCACTTTGATGTTTGTAGTCATAGAAAAATTAATTAGATTAATTTAGATGAGATTAATTTTGAAGACCTTTTGTCCTCCTTCTTCCTTCAGACTTCCTATTGGTCTATTTTATTAAGGCTGTTTAGGATTAAGCAAAGTAAAAGCCCTAAAGCAGAGCCTGGATTTTAATAGATGTGTACATACATTTGATTTATAGATTCATGAGGTGATTTGCTCATCCCTTTCAGAAGATGCTCTTCCCACTCAAAATCTGTGATTTGAGAAGGACAAATGTAAAATGGAGGTACTGACTTAAGGTTCTCTGACCTAGCATTGGAGATAAGGCAGCACTTTTCTTCAGTATTATGCAAGAAACTTCATTTTTACCTGCCAGAAAAGTGTGAAGAGTTGTCACTAAACCTTCCCAGGTTTTGTTGTCTGATACGTTGTAATAAATTCGCAGTCCTCTGTCCCCATAAACATCCGGTCGTAAGGTTACACCTTCAGGAGGAGGAAAGGGGAACACAAAGCAGAGGAAGTGTGCCAGGCACAGATTTGTTTATTTTAATGGACAGTACCAATTATGCTGCATCAAGACTCATTCTAAGTGTATAAGATCCTTCAGCCTTTTTGGGGAGGATTTAACCATGTTCAGAAATCACCTCAGCTCTGAGTTTTTCAACCAAAACCCTAAAGCCTGTGCTGCTGCTGAATTATTTTCTTTTCACATATATCCATGCTGTTACAAGAACAGCTTGTAAAATCTTTCCAGAAATTGCACTGGATTTCCCCAGGACTTGTTAGCAATAACAGTCATATCAGGTTAAAGAAACATCATACAGCAGCATGAGAAACAGCTTTTGAAAAAGCCACACATAATATGTCACAGGAATTCTTTTCCCAGCAAACACCAAACTTGCTAAATATGGGAAGTTCACTTCAAAACCCAAAAGCATCTGACAATAATTTTTAGGACTATTTTTTCCCCTCCCATTGTGGAAACAGGCCATTGGGGTGTGAAGTTTTAGCAGCGTGTGGTCTCTGATCATCTCCCCTATCTCTTTTCATGTCCCACAAATCTGAATTCCTAATCCCACATTTTCATATTATTTTTACTTTCTTGACTACTGGCGCAGCGCATCCTACTGGCAAGGTATTCCTGCTCTCCCAGGGACTTTCCATGGTGCTGGCACCCCAGGCTGCTCACTCCATCACCTCTACATCTTGCTGGGCACCCCAAAGCCCTCTGTGGTGCTTGGGGGTTTGGAGTAGAACCTAGGACTTCCCCCGGGACTGAGCCCTGCCCATGGGGAGCGAAGGTGACCTGCTACAGGCAGGCACTGGTCGTCCCAATAGCAAGATGAAATAAATTTCTATCTATCTATCTATCTATCTATCTATCTATCTATCTATCTATCTATCTATCTATCTATCATCTATCTGTCTATCTTCATTTTTCATATAATATATTCATAAATAGATTGATATATAAGTATATCCATGTATCAATACGTAAATAAATGTGCAGATTTTCTTTTAAAGCCTGAAAGTGTTTTCAGGCAGAGGTTAAACTTTGCAGGGGTTGTGTGGGCAGAATTGACCTGATGTATTCCACGTTGGTCTCCCCTCAGCCCTGGGCTCTGGCAGTGCCTCTCAGCCCAGCCCAGCCCTACACAGCTGCAATACTGGCAGTATTGCAATACTGCAGTACTGGCAGTACCTGGGGATTTCAGCTGGTCCTGGTAATCCGGCTCGTAGGGATTGATGGTCCTCATTAAGCAATAAATGGAGAGGGCAAACAGCCCCGACATCACCACATAAAAAGCCAGGTAGTAGAGGCTGATCCACACTGTGGAAAAGAATAAGGGCAGAATTTCAAATTTTGAGCAAGGTTGTGCAGTCCTCTTCTCTGCAGCCAGGATGATCCTGCTGTCTCCTTTCCACCCTTGTCCCCAGGGAAGTTCTCCCTGTAAAGGGACAGGTGCTTTGGAGCATTTTCTCTACACTCAAAAAACATTCTTCTAGAAAAAATTGTATAGTTCTACAAGGATTTTTGAAGGAGCTGGTGCTGAGCTCAGATTATTTAAAGCTTAAAGGTTATGTGGCATCTTGAAGTAATTTCACATATTAAGATAATTTATCTACTTATTACATAAGGACTAAGCCACACAGATGATGAGGTGTTTCTTGACAAACCCAAGTTGCTCCTTGTATTATTTGGATGACAGATGACAATACTTCAGGCATGTTGGTTTTAGACCCGTATCATTTCACTGCCTTATACAGCTGAAATCACCAACAGCAAAATGTGCCATCTTGCTACTTTATTCGGCTGTGAGATAATACAAGATTGACGTTGTGTTTCTGTCTATATGTGAATGAAGTGTCTTACACATGGCTGGTGCTGTCCAAGCAGCCAGTGATTGTTTTGGAGGGGTGCTATTAGAAACCTCTACTTGTAATCATAGGCGCCTTGTAGCACCTCTATCAGCTGGAAAGGCTGACATTCCAGTTGCATCATCTGTCCAATTCTGGTTTTAGGAGTAGCCAATAAACTACATGCACAGGCAGGAAAAAATCACTTGGAAACTTGCAGCTACTCCTACAGTCTGTGGGAAGAGTGTGGATCTTCCTTACAATGGCCCTGGCGGCCCTTCCCAGAACATAGATCATAATACAGATCAGCAATGTAGACACCAATTTGGCTGTGGGAAGGGAGGCTCAGCTGAAATATTTGCTAGTATGAAATACAAGCTGGTATGAAATACCTGCTAGCATGAAATACATGCTAGCATGAGTGATAAGAAACAAGATCTACTGAGCAGACAATAATTCAGAAAGGAATTTCAGAAAAAAAAAACTTGTTTCCAAAGAATTGGAAAAACTCACCCATTATGCAAATTTCTCCATGTATCTGAACCCCCTTTTCATTAACAATGTCAAAACCACCCTGTGACCATCACCCCTAGCTACTAATAATTTTCCTGTTAATGTGTTAGGGTTTTTTTGAAGTATTTTGTTCAAAACCACTTTAAAGTGATACATTTGCAGGAACTACATGGATCAATGTTTTGATCTACTTGATCCAGCTCACAGAGCTGCCCAAAATGTAGCTTAGAAGCACTTATGAGAACTGCTGGCTTCAACACATTTACATTTTGTCCCACTCATTAGGATGACAGCCCCCTGCCACAGTTTTTAAGCATACCAGAAGGAAGAGAAGAATCTTGCAGTTGCAAACCTACCCCAGTTAATTAAGGACCTTCCCATGAAGAGCTTTGTTTCTGGATTCCAGACAAAACGACGGAAATCTGCCATACGTTCGCTGCAGGTCTTCTTCTCATTTAAGGTTGCCATTTTCTCAGAAAAGTTCCCAAAAATGGGTCCTTCGTGGAAGAAACTAAGAAATTCAACCAGTGCCCAGACAGTTGACCAAGAAAAAGACTTTGGGTTTTATACCTTCTTTTCCACTGAAGGTGACCGAGATTGCTTCCTGTGCCAATGAAAGCCCCCGGTCACCAATATCAGCCTTTATAAAGGGTGCTGATAGTGCTGGCAAGGGAAAGTTTGTTCCTATCAAATGCCCTTCTCCTTTCTCTTGAGTGCCTTAGCAGGTCAGCAGAGTTACGCATTTTGCCAATTGCCCGCAGGGTTTGCGATAGACTCTGCGTGATAGCTGTTATCAGAGCAGATAAAGCAATGGAGAACTTGTTTCTCTCTTGGTTTTCTTTTTTTTCCTTTTTTTCCAAGTAACTTGCAAGTAGTAGATACAGTTCTCCTAATACAATGTGTAGCCATTTGTTGGGACATAGGGTATTGCAGGGTGGATGGTTAGAAAATGAGTAATTACTTGTTAAATATGCAACTCCTTTTGGGAGCTCTCTGCAAGCAGACAAGGAGCTGGTTGGGATTTACTAGGAGTGCACAACATCCACCAGTCTGTGAGACAAGTGGGCTGGTTGGCAAACATGGAGACTTTCCAATTCCACATCACCCAGTTTGACCTCAGCAGAGCTGGTGACACAGCAGCTGGGTAGGGAGCTGTGCTTTGGCTTGGGGAGGGCTGGGGGATAGATGGCAACTGCATGATGGCTGGAACCTCAGTGCAGCACTCAGCACGTGGACATCCAGCTGCGACCAGTTGGAGTGGCATCCCTGGGGGGCCAGTGCTGACACTGGGACACAGCCCAGCTCAGTCAAGCCAGAGTCACAGAATCACAGAATGGTTTGGGTGGGAAGGGACCATAAAGATTACCTAGTTCCACCTGCCCTGCCATGGACAGGGACACTTTCCACTAGACCAGCTTGATCAGAGATCTGTCCACCCTGGCCTTGAACACTTCCAGGGATGGGGCACCCACAGCTTCTCTGGGCAATCAGTTTCATTGTCTCACAACCTTCACAGCAAAGAATATCTTCCTAGCATCTGATCTGCTCTCCTGCTCTCCTTCAGTTCAAGGCCATTACCCCTTGATCCCTGAGCATGCAATAGGTGTCCCCTGTTTCATATCACAAAAAATCCTGGTGAGCTGTCCTCCCCTCTTCCAAGACACAGACCAGGGAATGCATGCAAAAATATTAATTGTGTCTTCAGTGAGATCCAAGTGGCACCATGAGGGACTCAGAGGGGACACTGGGTTGTGTGCTGCATTCTGTGTATGTGGAGAGCCTGCTCCCAAGCCATGTCTCCTTCATGGACTTGTCCCCTGTCCCTCCTCTGTTTTGCAGCAACAAAGACCATGAAGAGAAAAGGGCCATCAAGAGCAGAACCTTCATAAGTGCAAGAGTTCTGAGTGTAGAAGTTTCCCATTGGGAACCTGGGGATTTTCCACCACCTTACAAGCAAGCTGACTTGGAACTTGGTGAATTGCCAGATGCTTGCCATGGCTGAGCCATGGGCAGCATCCATGTGCAGCTGTGACAAATCTGGGATTCTCCTGGAAAGTTTGTGCATGAGTGAAAATGAACGCTGCCTGCCTGAAGTGGTTCATCAAGGTAGGATGGAGCAATTGCTGTTCCATGGGCTCTGTTGAAGGGCTCCTGGACACTGCAGTAATTTGTCAGAACACTTGTTACTGACCAGTGGGCAACTCTTCATGGCCCCACAGGAGGGCTGGTCTAAGCTCATTCTTGCTTTATAGTCCATTAGGATTCATCCAGTGCCCCCTTTCGTCACCTGCCCCTGCAGGGCTGTCCATCAGTGTCCATCCTGCCACAATGCCCTGGCCTTGTGGCCATGGCAGCCAGCCCTGGTCCCATTGCAGTGCCAGTCCCTTGACCCAGAGCCTTTTGTTGTGTTTAATGTACCCCAAACTGCTCGAAGAGGGACTAATGTTTGCTTTCCTTGGCTGGTTTTTAATGCCTGCACCAGTGACCTTGGGCTGGCCACCAAAGGGAAGGACAGCAGAGAGGGAAGGTCACTCCGGAAGGGAAGGTGACACAGGAGAGAGGGAAGGTTGCTCAGGAGCCGGGAGTGGCACAAGGCTACAGGTGAGACTTGGCCTGGCTTCCCCTCCTGCACAGCCCAGGCTAGGGCAGGGCCAGGCAGGATCCACTGCACATTTTCTCTCTTGCTGACCAAGGCACCAGCAAGACAAAGCCTGGGCTCAGGGAGACCAAGAGGCTCCAAACAAAACCCCTGGAGAATGTGTTTGCAAGGGTCACACTGCTGTGACCAGAGGTAGCTGAATGATGTGTGCAAGCAGGGAGGTGAAGCCCCTTCCTCTTTCTGTGGTTTACACAGTTAGCAACATGAGTAATAAGCTTGAAGGCCACTTTTGCAGCACTGTGCCTAAAAGGTTAGATCCAGGCTGAGATGTTATCCCTTGGAGATGTTGTCCTGAGCAGACCTGTGTGCCAGCACTCCCTGGCACTCCAGGCCTGGCTTTAGCCCAGGCTCCTTACATGCCACAGCAGCTTGAACTGCTCTAAGTTCACCCAGCACTGACTGGGAACTCGGTGTCAATGTTAATAAAACATTAACTCTGTTTGCTCATGATAAGGCACTTATAGGTTCCTCCCTGTTGTGGGGGCTGTGCAGGAGGTGCTGGTGCTGGGGAACTCCAGGAGAGACAGGTCACTGCCTGAAGCCTCACTGCCAGCACTGTGATGGGCCAGCCTGCAGGGTGGTTCCATGGCTCTGCCTCTCCAAGCACCACGATTTCAGCTGTCTCCTGAAGGAGCTGTTCATGCCTTGGTGACTCCCCAGTGTGCAGCACAGACTGCCTCAGCTGGGAGGAGAATCCAGCCTGGTACAGCCAGCAGTGGGGGAGGATCCATGGGCTCCCTCCCTTCTGTACCCAGGGGTTGTACACTAGGCTGCCATTGGAAGTTTGTCTTCCTTCCATGGTAGAAATGAGGTTTATGCCTTTGCCTTTGGCCCAGGTCTGTCTTCGATATCAAAAAGTCAGAAGGTGACTGGACCTGTTGGGCTTTCTCTGCCTTTCTCATGGAGAGGGCAAAAATTTCTCCTGCAAGTTTTCTGAAATAAATAATTGAGCATGAAAGAGAACCCCAGTCTCTCAGGCAGTGTGGCACAGTGAAGGAACATTCTTTGCATCCAGCTTTCTGTTTAGTTTCAGAGTCTGAGGGGTGATTTTTTTGTGTGTGTTGTTTTTTCCTTTGCTGCACTGTGTCTCACTAATAACCCCCCTCATTTGCCTCTCTCCTGTATTTTGCAGTTTGACAGAAGAAAACACACTGGCATTTTTTCAAGCTAGGGAGCACAGTATTTATTTTGTGTCTGAAATAAAGACATCTGATCTGCAGCCTGAGCAATTCAGGGAAGCAAAACTGGGAAAACATCTTGGAGCTGAACTGAACTGATGCTCCCACTGTTTTCAGCCTCAGAGAAAGCAATAAGAGCAAGGAGGGGTATTGGCAATAGTGCTGTGCTGGGTTTATGATAGCACAGCATGATCAGGCAGTGGGAAAGGCAAAGCAGCCTCTCTTCAGGGCTTGGCTGGTCTCTGCTTTTCTGTCCTGCTCTTGTTTGTCAAGGGCTGAAGACCCCACCATGAGCCCAGCCATATCCCTCTGCTCACCATCTGCCTCCTGGGAATCCAAAGGAAATTACTGCTGTGAAAAACTGCTAAACTGACTGCAAAAATAAAGCTAGCAAAGCCCAGCGGTGTTTCTTTCATGGTTTAGTGCCAAAGCCTGCTGTTTTGGGGCAACTTACTACTGTTTGTGGTGCATTTCAGATTATGGCAAACAGGGTCCTTGGGAACATTAAACATCCCATGAAATATCTCCAGCAGTTCTGACCTCATCACCTTCCACTGAAGGGGTGTCTCTGTCTGCACAGGCTATCACAGGCCATAGAGTTTCAGGTGGTGTTGCAAGAAAACAAGCTATATGCCCAGCTGAATGCCCATTTGCAAAGCTGCACCCTGGCTCTTATACACTCAAAATCTTGTTTGTGGACAAAAGGGATGCTCATCAATTAAAGCCAAGAATTTATTGATAACATATATGAAATTTTTAGAGTCTAATCATTATTACTCCAAATCCAGCTGTTACAGGAAAGAGTATCACCTAAAAACCATACACACATTTTCAGCCTCTGCACTTTTTTCTTGATTGTCCATTCTCCCATCCCTTGCTTCTTAGGGCCCAGGGGTGTTGTGGGTGGCAGGTTCAGGCAGAGGCAGGGACATCCAGAGACATCCATCAACAGGCTCAGCCTTCAAACCTGGGCTTCTCCCAGCCTGACCTCACCATGGCTGTTGTGGCTCTGTCACCTTGTGAGATATGGCTCCCCTCCCCTCTTTTGCTCCTTCCTTTATGCCTCCCTACTTCAAAGACTGTTGAGATACTGCTTAGCCAAGCTATTAATATTTTAATAACTCTTCAGTCTTACTTCCTAAGCCAGTTAACTTAAACTCTGTTACTGACATTTTCTTTTGAACTCCTCTCAGCTTGTCTGTGGCTTAAGGGTAAAAAGGTGTCCAAAATTGAATGGTGCTCAAGATGTGTCCTCACCAATCTCAAATCCTCTAAAATCCATTGCAATGTGCCCTCTGGCTTAAGTTTACTTTGGGATCTGGCCTGAATAGAAGAATACTGCTTTGTCAGCTTGGTAGCATCATGTCTCAACATGAGCCACTCAAAATTATGTATGATGTTTTGTTTTTGGTTGTTTTTCTTTTTTTTGACACAGCCTTCTTAAGTTGTATTTAGAGGATATAACCTGATGTCAGCCAAAGTGGACACTCCCTGACCACGGTGGAGCCTTGCCAGACCCTGGTGAGAAGATAACTGGATTTTTGGTCACATATTCAGAGCCTGGTCCCCAGCAGGCACAGAAAGCTCCTGCCCTGCCCAGCCCCACAGGGAGCCCAGCTCAGGTAAGGAAGCCTGGAGCTGTCAGGGTTTGCCTGCACACAGCAGGTTTGCAGAGCCTTTGGCTGTGTTGGTTTGCACCTTAACTCTGCATCAGGCTGTGCAGGGAAAGGTCAGCTCCAGCCAGGTGGGAAATCAATGCCAGTGGAAAGCATTTTATCAAGCTGTGGGTATTAAAATGCCACTGGGAAAATCTGCTTTTACAGATGCTCCTCTTCATTGAAAATTTTCTTCAAATATGCATGGCTGATTCCTCCATTGATGTTAGTCTGATTAATACCATATTTGTTAAAAGATAAATCCCCACAGGCCTTATTTCCACTACAGATAACAATCAAGTTATCAAGTATATAAATATTTAACAGATTTTTTAAAAATACACATATATATATTATTTTGTTTTTTCCAGGCTGATATCAGGAAGCAAGGGCTAGAAAATGTAGAATTATCTTCCAGTACAATCACAGTGGCTGTTCAGCTGTTAATGAACTCACTTTAGCAGGCACACATCCTTTTACAGTCCTTGTCCCTCTGGAGTTGCTCAGTTGTCCTCCTGGCTTTGTTGCAACAAACCAATGCTCTTTTTATTGCTGTGGCTCCTGTCACTGCATAAAAAGATACTTGGCTGAACAAAATATTCTGAACTATCAAAAAGCATATGGAATGGTGCTATGCTGTAAAGGACCCCAAACTCTTTTTTTCCCAAAGACTCAGCTCTCACTGCCTCTCCCTACAGCAGGGGTGTCAGTGGGGCTGTGTGGTGCTGTCCTGCACCCCTACAGGCAGCAGCAGCAGTGGGGTGCTGGCATGGGCAGCCACCACAGCATCCCTTGGGGGCTGCCCATGAGGATGGATCAGGGGGATCAGATCAGCCCCAGGGTCATCCGTGGTGACCTGCACATCACTGCACAGCTCTAGAGACCATGGCCAATCTCACCCTGCACTTCTCCAGAACAGGGACATTTTTAATGCTAAGGGCCATTTTGAAATGGTGTCTAAATTATTCAGGAAACAGCAAAAATAATGTATTCAGTCTTCATCCAGGCACAGAAATATTTCTCTGATTTCAGTAAATGTTGGTAAGTGGGAAAAGATGATGGAGACTTTTCCTGATAGAGTGACTGTAAGTGCTAAGATCCTCAAGTGAAAAGGAAGTGAGAGAAATTTGAGGGCAAGGGCTGAGAACAAGCAGATTTTAATATCAGTTTATCTCTGTGTTGTACCTGCTTGTACAGGCATTAAAGCACCAGCCCAAGCTACCCTGTCTTCTGAGAGAATCTTATCTATAGCAACCTGGCATTAAAAAGGTACACAGTTAAAGATAAAATAGTTCTACTTTTGGCTACTTAGCTACAGGACTTTAAAAAATGGGTCTTCAGAGAGACAAGGTGAACAGTTTTAATGGAGATATTATTAATTCAAATGTTGTCTGAATTAACATTTCAAAGGAAGGCCAGAAATTAGAAAAATTATATAGAAATTATAGCAATTATAGAAAAATTACTATAAAACTGAATGTTTCACTAAAACAGGTTAGGGGCATTTACAGCACTTTTATGTTTACCTGTCATCTTGCTGGGATTGGAGCATTTTAGAATATGGTTATGCATTAGAATTTCAGTATCAGTACATCTTTATATTGATCTGAATGCCTGGGACCAGCATCCATAGTGGATGATGACACTTAGGAACCCAAGGCAACCTTATGAAACACCCCTATTTAGAATTTACTACTGCTATAAGCAGAAATTGTGGAGATACTTGTGAATGCCAGGCCTGGGTCTCAAAATATATTCCAGTTGTTATAAAGAACTTGTTTTATTCCTAAGCTATAATACTGGCTCAAAGATGTATTCATTGCATTTATAAGTTGCTGTGAATGTGTAGCTAGACTTATAACTTCCTAGAAATAAGTATTAAGATTGGCAGGGTGCATGGCAAAGATCACCGACCACCTCACAAAACAATGAACCTGCTTCTGATCTGAGACCTACAGCATTGCCAGAAAGCCAAACTTGAACCTGAAACCCTCAACTGAAGAGAAAAAACAACTGATTCAATCTACCCGAATGGCTTCAAATACCCTGTCTGAGACTCATGACACAGAGTTCAGTGAAAATCCCAATCCCCCCTCCTGCTGGGTAGGACTCCTCTTGCTGAGGGAATTCAGTGAAGTGAGAGACATCTGCATAATGACAGTTCTCACAAAGAGAGATCACAGAGTTGTTCATTGCCATCTTTTAAACAAAGGAGCATAATTTATCTTTTTAAGTATTTTATACAAACTGCAGTCAACCAGAGGCACACAGAGATGTGGCAGGTTTACAGGGGATGGGGAGGATGACACAGACACAGTGGGCATTCATGAGATCATCAAAAACTTATTTTGGACAGGGTTGTGTTTAATAATTCTAGAAAGGCTTTTTCCAGCCCTAAAACACACATGTCCAGAAGCAGATTTTATCTAGCATTTTTACTTTCTGCCCTGGCCAGATTTTCGTAATGTTCTGAAGTTCAATTCCAAGCTCAGTTCTTCAGCTGTGACAACAATAGCATCACTCAGTGCACCAGGGCAGCAGAGCTGAGCAGGCTATTCCTTCCCACGGCCCCAGGACAGCAGCACCCTCTTAAGTGGAGGGGTACAGGGCAGAAAATCTCGCTAATGACCTTTGATTGCTGTGTCCCTGTAAACAGCTGCTTTTCCTCAACTCAGTAAGTCACTGTAAATGCCAATATTGCAAAATGCAGTTATCAGTATATGAATCATTAGCAGATGGCTCTGAGGATGGGTGGCATGATATGGAGACTTTCAGGAAGAGGTCACAGGACCTGCTCTGAGGCCACAGTACTCCTGGGGACACATAGCACTGTGCCTGCCTGCTGGGCTCCAAGGCGGTGCTTGGGATGCAGCTGGGTGGGTGCAAAGGCTGTCAGCCACTCCTGCACAGTGTGGCTGGGTCTGAAGCTCCACAGCATTTTGCTGCTCCCCTCCAGTCTCCCAGAACTACTGCACCTGAGACTGTTTTGCAAACCCTCTTATGTCCCAGTGACTCCATTTACCTCAATGCACATAATTGCCACTTTTTCCTAAGCTTGGATTATTTCCACAGAGTTGTTTCTGCTGCTGGACTGGGGGAGGCAGTATCTGGCCACTGCTGAGTGGATGGAGAGAATGTTCCCCCCACCTTTGGAGCAGCAACCTGGCCTGCAGCCCTGACTGGAGCTGCAGGGCAGTGCTGGGGCTGCAGCGTTTCCTCACATGCCTGTTCTTCAGTGCAGAGCACAGGGACACCTCCCCAGGGCCTTTGCAACAAGAGGCACCCTGATTACAATGACCACATTACACCTATGTGGCCAAAAACTGGGGAAATGTGGGTTATTTCTGATTTCACACATATCCTCCGGGACCCACAGCTCTGATGAGTTTTGAAAGAGGAAGGAAAGCTTCCAATGCACCTTAAGGATAGCAAAGAGTGCAGTTTGGCTGCCTGATGAAGTTGCTTGTGCTTTATCTTCACTTTTCTCACTGTTGCTCTGTTTCTCTCCTGCATTTCATCATCTCCTTCCTTGCCTCTCCCTGCTGTTTTTACAGCTGCTCAGAGATCCTGCTGCTCATCCAGGATATGTGCTCTCCCACCACATATCCCACTGGTCTTTGCCTGCCTCCAGCTGTGCCTTGTGCTGCTGCCAGTGGGGTGCTTCTGACAGGGGCAGCTGGCCTTGTTCCTGGACGCAGCAACCATCTTCACATCACACGTTGTTGGTGCTTGCTGGTTTTGGGGATTTCCATCTCAGCCATATTAACTGTTCCAGGGGCAGTCAGAGCCCAGACCAGAGGGCAAAGTGCATCACCTGTGCTCAGTGGGCAGTGTTCTCCACAAGCTGCCACCCAAAAGCCCTGCACAGAGGATGTGCCTGTGCTTAGCAAGTGAGAAAATGCTTTCTAGGCTTATGATGGAAAATGTTTCTTGTCTAAGTGCCTGAAAAATATGGGCTCACTGAAACTTTGTCTTATTTAGAAAGTAATCTAAAATAATTTTTGGAAGTATCCAGAATGTTCCTAATTGAATATCTATTTATATCCCCAAGAGTGCACTGCAGGACTCACTTACAGATACCAGCACTCATCCAGAGCTGCTGCACCCCCTGGACAGAAGCAGGGTAGCTGTGTGTATATGTACACACCCACTGCTGATTCCTGTGTGGTGTCATTCCACTGAAATGCCAAAAGTCTAGCTGTTTGGATTCTATATTGCTGGAGGTATGGGAAGGGGATTGTGGATTTAGGCTGACATCACTTCTCTATTTATGTCCACAGGGAATGCATGCACATGTGTCTGGACCTTCCTAAACATTTCTGCAAATACATTTATAAATCAATGTCATTTCAGCCAGCCAGCCAGGACAATCAATATTCACTCTCACTCAGTATCCTGGACAGCATTGATCCCCCTTGTACCTGCACAATGGAGACTAAAAGCTGAGCATGTGTGGCAGCTGCTAGGAACTGTCTTTCAAGCTGTGTGCTTTAGGGATGCACATGTGCAGTTGCACTGATCTGAAGGATTAAGGGGTAACTTGGTGAATATAGCTGAAGTGTGTGTATATATATATATATATATATATATATATATATAGTATACCTTCCTCCTAGACAGTGAGAATGGATGAGACAGCAGGTTGTAACCTACTGTCACATCTGTTACCTGGTATTGTTCTTCCAGACCACCAGCATTAGTGAGAAGGTGCAGGGTGAAGAAGAGCAGATGGAGAAACCTGTCAGGTATTTTTTTTCAACATGGGAATTGTAGCTGCTGTGGGAGGACCCACCAGCAAAATCAGACCTGCTTCTGGAGGTGAGGGCCTGCCTGTACTGGTGACCTCAGCACAGAGCAGGGAGAAGAAAATCAGATTTTTGGTACTGGTGTGTTTGACACTTAATTACTGGTCACATGATAGAAAGGACATGATTAATAGAAAAAAATCTATATACTTATTAAAAATC